TTTTTTGGCTGTGCGTTCGGGATAGCATCTTCAGCGTCTCCGACGGCCACTGTTTGGGCTAAGGCAGGGGCAGGTGCGCGACACACTGCTGCACGATGACCCTGCTTTCTACATCGAAAGCATATCAGTGGGCGTTGCCCTCGACCACCGCGGTTGTTCCAATACGGATAACCACCACCGCGTGATGACGCCTCGATTGCATCAATCTCCGTAGGCTCGGGATCCGACACCCGAGCCTCCTCCGACAGCACCTTGCCGTACGATGATGACACAGTAAAATCCTCACGCAGTGCGATGGCGAAGGCTTCCTCGAGGGTCTTCGGCTCTGTTCGCGTTAGGCGGTATCTAGTCATGCCCTCGCGCATGCCGAAGACAAACACGTGAATCTGTGATGCATCATCGATCGGATTGGTGGTGATGCACGACACTAGGTGACGACATTTCTGGACATAGTCACGCATCGGCATTTTCCCCTGTTTCAGGGAAAAGAACGCCGCGCGCGTTCTCGACTCGTCCTGGGGCGGCTCGAACGCCCGTCGAAGGTCGTCTTGAAGAGCCTTTAACGTTAGAAACGTCGCTGTGGAAGTAACCAGCTTACCGAGGGCCCACTCCTTTGCCTTCCCACTCAACCGCGAGAGTAGGAAGTTCACTTTTGCGGACTCCGACTCGAGTAATCTCGAGTCGATCACGATGTCGATCTCGCGAAACCAGCGGTTTAGCGGAAGGCGATCGTTCCCAACGCCTGAGTACGTGGAGGTTTCAATCTTGAACATCATTCTTCATGAAGCGCGAGGGAGTTGACACTCGCCGCCGTGCGCTGGCGAGCTCGCGCTCCATGAACTCTTGTGCAGCTTGACGCTGCTGCTCCGGGGTCGCTGAACTCAGCAGCGACACGACGACGAACTCGCCGGAGGTTTCGGCGAGTCGATGGAGAGCTTCCCACTCGATACGCGTGAGGTGGGGAAAGTTCTCATGCTCCAGTGTTCCCCCATGCCTTCAGACGACAGAACGTCTTGATCTTGGTCGTTGGAAGGACTACAAAGTGCTACCAGGTATAACGGGCTAAGAGCATCCGTTATCTTTGCTTACACGGTGGCTAGGAAGCGTCGAGGAGACTCAGTCCAACTGAGTCTAAGTCGTTGGAAAAGGGGAAAATCAACTCTGCTTTATTATGGAGCCAGGGCAGTAGCCCTGCTCCCTTTTGTGAACCGCTCAACTGAGGTCGATGCCTGATCGGCCGGTTATCTGCCAATCAGGACATGACAAGCAGCCCGCGCTGCTACTGCTACATATGTAATATCTAATAGCTGATCATCTATATATGCAATGGGGCACATTACAGAGCAAGCTCGTGCCTCACTAGCATCTAGCTTCTCCAAGTCGCCTGGCAGATACGGCTTGAGGTTTACGATCCACTTCTCTTCGTTCTGCGCTCGTAGTATTCGATCCATCCTGACGCGTTGTACCACATCTAGCTGTAGCACCCCTGCCGAGTTCTTCAAACGTGCTCGCGATCGGGTCGTCGCGGCCATCCAGGGGACAGACCCGTCGTCCTTCGGGAGTAGGAGCTCCTGGAGCTGGTTCAGGACAACCAAATCGTCGCAGTCCGCCTTCGAGGTAACCGCTGTGCCTTCTTGCTGGTGTAATGCAGTGTCTAACCTGTCCGCGCTTTGGTTCCAGTCTCGCTTAACGTGTAGGAACTCGTGGGCCGGCAACGTTCTCAGCCGATCTAATGCCCGTCGACGAAGAGTCGTCAGGCCTGATGCCTTGCACTCGATCTCGCTTCGCATCTGCCGTATCACCAAGTTGGAGCCCCCGCAGATGATCAGGCGTACCCAGTCCAAGCTGGAGAGTAGATCGAAGCCTAACAACAGGCCCTGATACTCCACCTCATTCACCATTAGGTCAGGCAAGTACTTCGGTTCTGCTGCGATTACGATCCACTCAGGTAACTTCCAGACTATAGTGCTACACGCTCCACCGCCTCGTTTGACTCGTGCCGATCCATCGAAACTCACGACTAACAGTTCTTTGCCTTGTTCAACCGTTGGTAGCACCGCCGGAATCAGCTGACGTGGCTGCTTCCACGGCGCGATAGACGACAAGGTCGAGTCGACACTTTCCCGGGGCGTGATGCTCGCCGCAATCGTACCCAGGATCTCATCTTCGCCGCGCGTACACTTGACAATCTCGAGCGTCCAGTGGGATAGCAGCGCCGCCCAGTTGCCCAGTCGGCCTTGGAGTCCTGTAGATCGCATCAGCCAAGCTAGAGTGGAGTGCCGCGTTAAAACCTTAATCGGCCTCGTGACCAGCGTGGAGTAGCACACGTCCAGGATCCGGAGAAGAGCCAGAATTTCTTTCTCGACCATGCCGTAGTTGAGTTCGTTGGGCTTCAGCGTACGACTGGTGAATGTTACCGGCATATACGTGCCATCGTGCTCTTGCACCGAGGCTGCGGAGATCGCCCAATCGCTAGCATAGACCACGACAACAGGTATCCGATCTGGATCGAAATGCCGCAGCACGGGCGCCGCTGCGATCTTG